ACATCTCCAGCTCACCCCCTGTTTGGGTATCAGCCAGCACGTCAACGACTTAAATCTAGAAATAGTTTTCTAAGATCTACAGAGACACTCGCTGGAACACCTCAGCAAGCGAGAGTCCAAAAGTGGCAGGCTCAAACCCAGAACCTTAACCAATGGCTGATACCAGATGAGAGACTCCCCCCTGGGCACACAGAGGACTGGGCGACTTGGAAGGCGCTGAACAGACTGCACTCTGGCACCACGAGATGCAGAGCCAACCGTCAGAAATGGGGCTACAAAGTGGAATCCTCGACATGCGAGTATGGAGAGGAGCAAACCACTGACCACCTGCTGCAATGCAACCTGAGCCCTGCCACATGGACAATGGAGGACCTTCTTGCAGCAACACCAGAGGCACTCCAAGTGGCCAGATACTGGTCAAAGGACATTTAATCAACCACCAATCTCACAAATTGTGTATTCTGTCTGTTTGTTTGCTTTGTTCTGTTAGAAATGTAATATAATATGACTGGTTGTCCTGACATGACAAATAAATCTGCAATTTTAGTCAGAACAGGACCCTCGTAAAAGTGGGGAAAATATTATGTAAAAATGTTTTTTTTTGTGTGTGTGTGAGAGAGAATATCTCTCTAGGAATCTATCAAGGCTGTGCCAGAGGTTGACCACAGAACCACAGTGGAGGTACTCAAAATTTCTAAAGATAATGGTTTAATCAATTCTGCAAATAATCAATTTTATAGCAATTATATTTAAAAGCAATTTTCCATTTTTTTTGGTAAATTTTAGCCCTCCTTTTGGGCTCGATTTTTAAAAGGTCAGGCTTCTTTCAGACATTCAGTTAATATTTCTGTAATGGATTTCTGAACTTCCTGGGGGGTTCTTTGAGATACTGCCTTTTTAAGCTTGGAAGGGAATAATGTTCCAATCCTGTCTAGGGGCCAAGGAGCAGGAAAACCAAATTGGATGTAATATATTTTCAATTACTACTGGGATTAATACCACTTTGAAAGTGTCACAGGCTTTTCACAAGTACAGCCTGCCATGGCTAACCTCTCCCTGCTCTCAATGCTCTGATCACAATTTCTTTGCAAGATGAGATGCTGTCACGGCCTGTCTTTCCAAAACTCTCATTTCATGCCACAAATTGCAAGTTTCCGATCCAAGTCCTCTTTGCTCATGTCAAGAGCCCCTTATTGCAGATCTCATTCCAGTGCTCTGCAGAGTTCCTCTCAGCTGAATAAAAATGGACTATTATTACAGCAACTATGAACTAATGATACACAAGCATAAAAGGAAGCTCAGAGATGGGCTACTGTATGCTTTCCCTACTTGGGAAAAGACGGAGTACCTGTAAAATTGACATTTTTCAGACACAATTCAATTTCCTTGGGTATTAGAATACTAGCTCTCCCAGCCCTGGCTCCCTTCCTTGGATGTCTAAGAAAAGGGCTCAAAATGACCCCAAAGCTGCTTTCCCTACGAAAGATAATGATGTAATATGTAGGTAGAAAAGTCAAGGAGGAAAAGGCTGGGTGCAGATTTTGAGTAATAAAATGCTAGAAGAATGGGGTTAATCAATTTCCTACTTGCCACTTTTTAGACCTAGAGCTGTGGCCTCTCAAGGCAGTACTTGGTTTTGAGAAAAAAAATAAAAAAAGACAAAAAACATTCAAGACACTTTATTTGCATTTTTAGTTGATTAAAATTATTGTACTGATTTTAACCCATTTAGCTACTATTTGTAATTTTACCTAATATCTCTTGATATAGGGCACCATATAAATATTGAGATCCAGTGTGGTGTAGTGGTTTGCGCACTGGACTAAAACTCTGGAGACAAGGGTTTGAATTCCCACTGAGCTTATAGAAATCCACTATGTGGCCTTGGTGAAGTTATGTTACAGCTTGATGATGCGTGCAGAACAGCAGAAGCTTAGGTTTTTTTAAAATTTTCATCTGAGCAACACAAGTAGAAGAAGAAAACATAAATGTTACTCTTATGCAGCAGAGTTCAAAAAGCCAGGAACTTCAACAGAAACTTGCAATATTGCATTAATACAGTCACAGTCCCTCTGGACTAGTACACTCACATATAGTCCTTGTATTTAACTCATGGAAATTCTTTCCACAGAAAATATGTCTCTCCAATCTTCCTTTCTTGGACACGGAGATGAGCAGAGAAGATGAATTTGCCTCCATCAAATAGGCAGCAAGCCAGGAGCTAAGAGATTAACCTCAGGTGCAAACATTCAGTAAATTGAATTACAAACACTTCCCATTTATACCCCTTCGGGACTGTCCCAAAACTTGCTGACCTTAATTATCCCATTCACTCAATCTGTGTGCTGTAATTGTAAATATTTTAATAATAATAATAATAATAATAATAATAATAATAATAATAATAGGGTGCAGTGCCTAAAGAACTTGGCCTGCACTTAAACACAATCAGCGCTGACAAAATTACCATCTACCAGCTGCAGAAGGCCATCTTACTGGGATCTGCACGCATTATTCACTGATATATCACACAGTCCTAGACACTTGGGAAGTGACCGACGTGTTATCCACTACAACAGCCAGCAGAGTATCTGCTGTGGACTCATTTTGTTGTGTTTCAAATAATAATCATTACCATCATAATTTTATTTCTTACCCATCTCTCCCCATAAACAATAAATAAATCCAGTGGTGCTTTGTATTAAATGACTTGTGCTTTCTGGGAGCAACCCAGCAATAGTGCTATTGCATAAGCTTTATCTAGGTAGTATGTATTTCTCTTCCTAAGATAGTGTAATCCTGTTGTCCATCAAAATGTACTTTGAGAAGGATGCAGAACTTGAGAAAGTTTGGAGGGGAACAAATTCCATGTTGTAATGCAAGAAACAAAACAGTTATATACCAGAACTGGCTTTCTGTTTTTAAATGGTATATTCTTTGGGAAATTTTAAATATTATAAGAATATAAAATTTATTCGGGGGGGGGGGGGGAAGCTGGCAAATTTACCCCTGTAGGAATAAAGAATCCACTCTTAATTTTTCTGTTGCTCCTCCTGTTGCTCCTACAAGTTGATCAGAAATTCTTCAAGTCTAGACCCCCAACTTTTCAAAGACTCTGTTTTGAAAGAGCCCCTCTTCTGTTCAGGGCAGCTACAGGTTGAGTGCATATTCTACAACATTTGGTAAATGGAACCAGGGCACATGTAGTCAGGCAACATCAAAGTGGAATCAAGATGGCAAAGGAAGAATAATCGGGAGAGGCTGCAGCCATTTCCTTTTGCCTGACTACTGGGAAGGGCAAGATCTGCTCCCTCCTCTCCTTCAGCTCCATTATCGTTGCACTCTGTATGCAGCAAGTAAAATGAGGATAAAGAGGAAAAATGGGAGGAAAAGAGAAAAAACCACGACATTTTAAAAGCAACTGAGAAAAGACTAGGGACAGAGAATGAATTACTGTATATACTTTAGTATAAGCCTAGTTTTTCCAGCCCTGTTTTAGGCAGAAAAAGTCCCCTTCGGCTTATACTCGGGTGAGGGTCCCGACAGGAAGGCATGGAGTTGAAAGAAAGACTTCTTTCAGCTCCACACCTTCCTGTCAGGACCCTCATTCTCTGCACAGCAACCCAGCTCTCCTCTCCTCTCCTCTCCTCTCCTCTCCTCTCCTCTCCTCTCCTCTCATGCAGCGCACACCTTCCTCTCCTCCTCTCTCAGCACCAGTCTTTCCCACTTTACTTATCTATATACACACAGCATTTTCCCCAAAATGTATAATTAAAATAAACTGTAGTGATTATTGGAAGGATACGTAAGCACATTTATGCTGAAGACGGTTAGAATAATGATTTAATCAGAGTTGGACAGTATTATCTTAAATTACAGTTTTATGTCAATATTCAAAAACATTTAATCTCCTGATGCCTCAATTTATGTAGTTTTATTAGTATCTATTTTTATTTTGAGATTTACCGGTAGCTGCTGCATTTCCCACCCTCGAGTCAATAATTTCCCCCACTTTTTTGTGGTAAAATTAGGTGCCTCAGTTTATATTTGGGTTGGCTTATACAGTAGATCCCTGTCTCTGCCAAATTGGGACACTTGGAAGGCTGTAGGTGCATGGCAGTAAAATCAAGAGTAGTAACAATTTTTATAAAATCCTCTGTACTTATATTCAAAGGCAATTTTTCATGGTTTGAACAATGGTAGGTAAAACAATTGCCTCAAGGCTTACTTGATGTTTGGAATGCACAAAAATATTCAACACTGTACTGTGTGTATGTATAATGTTATATTGCTGGTGCAATATTACCCTCTGTCCAGTCTATTCTCTCATTGAAGTAAAAAATGCTTTAATTGCCCCCCAACCCCAACTGAAATTATGCACTGTATGGAGAATTTTATTTGGATGGTTATGCAATGGTTCCGGGTATTTTTGGAGTATCTGTGTCACTTTATGTGGAGGTCACTTATTAATGGTACTGATGGATTAAAGGACCTGCTTAAAATGCAAGTGACTCATTCTGCTGGTCTGGCATGCATTGCTCAGAACGTAAACAACTCATCCATTTTCATTGTTATCTCAATCAATATCCAAACATGTGATTAGCAGAGATGTGACTCCTCTCCTCCTACACATTTCCTTCCCGATTTCATTTTAGCCTTCTGTTTCTTTTTTGAATATGAAGCAAATAATCAGCCAGTTCCCCTGTATACAGGCAGGAGGTGTCAGATTGACAACAAAGTGGTATATTTCTTTCTCTTTCTCTCCACCCCCGCACTGAGAATAAGAGGACAAAGACAGGCATGCCTTTGCAAACATTCAGCTATTTATAGACAGGGTGGTTATTGTTCAGATTTCCTTTTGGGTGCTTGAGAAATGATTGATTCCTCCCCTTCCCTCCCTTTGCACCTAGTCTTCAAGGCAGTCTAACTCAGGGACAAAGCAAATAGTCAAAGAACCAAATATCAGTTTTGATTCTTTTTTGTTTTTGTTTTAATGTCAGGTAATGGGACATTGATCGGAGCATCTGCAAATGTCGTTTGTGCAGGAATTGCTGAGCAACATGGATATGGCTTCTCTTTCATGGAATTTTTCAGGTACATTTTAGACTTCAAAAGAATCTGTGTTCACACTTGCCTCTGTCTGGTTATTGATTTGCAATAGAAACCTAAACAAATCAAGCTGATGGCTCATAGTGTATGAAAAAGGAAGGAAAGGATGACCAGGGAGTGGTAACTCCAGGAGCACAACAAAAATAAAAGCATATATCGCCGGGATAGCACTCAACAGAACAGAGTTTTCAAAGTGTGCTGTTCAAATTTAGGTGCAACCACTGGAAAAGTGAAATTTAATTTTTAGATGTATATAAATATATTTAAATTACAAATTCTCTCTAGTGTCCAGTGTTGCTTGAGAGAATCATTAACCATTATTGGTTCAACTGTCCTAGAACAGGGCTTCTTAAACATTTTCCACTTATGACCCATTTCTGTCCAAGAAAGTTTAATGCGATCCTGAGTATATAGGTATATAAAACAGGAATAAAAACCAAACATTTACTGATAGTAAATCAGCATTTGCAAGGGTTACTAAGCAAGCTGATTTTCCCTTTTAAGCAATACAGCTGAAACATTTGTGCTGAGCTCACTGTAAATACTGCATGTTACAAATTTGTGTAAATATCTGGATTGTGGATTATTTTATATTGTGTCTTGAATTTTGAACCTTGTTCTTTCTATGTTTCTATGTTGTTAATGCTGGATTGTGGATTATTTTATATTGTGTCTTGAATTTTGAACCTTGTTCTTTCTATGTTGTACACCGCTGTGAGTCGTCCCCGGGCTGAGAACAGCAGTATATAATCAAAGTAAATAAATAAATAAATAAATAAATAATATCTGAAATGGTCACTAGGTGGCAGCCAGAAAACTTTTACTGTTGCCAATTTTTTTGTGACTCCAACATTGAACTAAGGAGAACCCATTTGGAGTAAGGACCCACACTTTAAGAAGCAGTGTCTAGAGCAGTGGTTTTCAACCTGTGAGTCCCCAGGTGTTTTGGCTTACAACTCCCAGAAAACCCAGCCAGTTTACCAGCTGTTAGGATTTGTGGGAGTTGAAGGCCAAAACATCTGGGGACCCACAGGTTGAGAACCACTGGTCTAAAGGATGAGTATGTTTCTCATTAGAGGCTCAGACATTCCTCACATTACACATCCATATGGATTGCTCTTGAGAGAGCAAGCCTCTCCCAATCATCCACCAATAACACTATTCACAATGACTAATGGGGTGCCCCTCCACTTTCTAATTGAATTTTTTTGTACGCTATGTAGCCAGTTTATGTTAAATCAGATCATCCCAAATGCTCCTTTCAGATTTGGTGCAAATCCATCAAGCCAACACATAAACTAAATTTTATTTGACTAGTTACAGCAAAATATCAAAAAAGTGATGTTTTGAATTCAACTCAATAAAAGTACTTTCAAATGATGTGCCACACTATTCCACATGAATGAACAAATACTTGAGTGCCCCCATGAGCCCTCTAAAGTGAATTTTCAATATGATACATACCTACCCTATATACTCAATGTATAAGTCTAAAAACGTTCGTTAAAAATTCATCCTGAAAACTGGGTTGACTTATTAAAAAGAAACCACCCCTTTCTCTGAGTAAAGTGGTGAAAGACAAGAGTATATTATAACCCAAGGTATTATAAAAGAAACATTGACCCCCTCTAGTATCTCTGCCATTGAGTTGTTTATGGCAGGAAAATGTTGGTGGTGATGATCAGTTGTCCTCCTAAGTTGGCATTGGTGCTTTCCCCTCTCCACAGAATTATCCTCGACATCCATGGGTCAGATAAAAATCCATAATTTTGGCCCCAAAGCCTGCATCGACTTATACATAAAGTTAATTTGTACATGAATAAATAAGGCATCTTATATTTTAATCCAGGCTATCCTTGATCACACCTTCCAGATTTGGTGAAATTTGTCCAGCCTTGTTTAAATGTCATCCATAATTTGGTTATAGGAATGATAGATCTATGAAGACAGATTTCAGAAGACCTGTTGCAACAAATAGGAAAGTTTATTAAATATCTCTCAGCAACATTTTTAAAATGGCATGTACTAGAGTTCTTTGGTGGTGGAAGAAATCTGAAATAATTGCTTCCTCATTCTGCATTGAATGGTTGGTTCTTCACATCATTGAACTGTTGGTCTCCATTGAAGGGATACAGAAATTCATTCCAATTGCTGAAGAGCTATGAAACTCTGAACTGGTTTGAGTTTAAGCTCCCAGGGCTAATCAAAAAATGCTAGTCAAAGATAACCAATAAGACTGCACTCTCTTTTTGGGACATATATATTTGTTCTTTATTCTCACAGTTTATCTAATATTGCATTGCACAAAGTTTGAATTAATAGCCTATGTATCTAGTAGAAATGGCAGTAATTGGAAAAAATCATTTCAAGGTAATAGCTTTTTAGATTACTTATTTTCTTTGCCACTTAGCCAAGGGGATGCATGGCAATAAAATTTACTCCATCACACACACATCATCAATAGACCATGGTTTTAAAGTTGTTATAATTTTTGATAAGATTGTTGCATTCTGAACTGGGAAGAGCTGGGAAGAAGGCAGATTAGGATCAGATAGATTTGCAAGGATTTATGACTCCTGGTGGTTCAACAAATTCAACAAAAAGTTTGTACTCACCTTACCTTCAATTATACTGTTAACATGGAAGCAGCAGGTAATGAGAAATTGGGTTTCTGTGTGTGTGTAAAAGGATTATAAATTCCATTCAGTGTTGGCACTTATTTCTATAGCTCAATGGGCTTTGGATGGTGGATAGGGCTCTTGTAAAAATTAAAATAGATCCTGTAAATCTGAAATCTTCCTACCTTGACTTGAACTCAAGCACATTCTTGGCAAAGCTTTCTAAATATTTACCATCAGAGAAGGCAGTATTTTGTAACATTTTGACCCATTTTGAATGAAGGTGGTGGATATATTTTTATTCATTATTTTTTGTTTGTTCATTATCATAGTTTTATATGTATTATTTTTGTCTTCTGTTTTGAAGTTGAACTATTTTTTGTTATTATAAACTTTTGCATGTGAATGATTTTAAACTGTATCTTCTTTTTTGAATCCTTGTAAGTCATCTTGAATTCTCCATAAGGAGGAAGGTGGGATATAAAGAAAATAAGATAATGCATACTAGAGTTGAACCTTTCTTCTTAAGAACCACACAATCTGAAAATACTCCAAAATCATCCATATGGTTGGCTGAGTTAGTGGCTCTTTTGCTTTTTGACAGTTGAATGTACACAAACATAGTTTGATGCACAAAATTGTTAAAAATATTGTATAAAATTTAACTTCAGGATAAGGTGAATATAGAGTCTAAGTGAATGCTATGTTTAGGCTTGGATCCCATCACCATTATTTATATTGAAACCATCATCAGGGGCGGCTCAACCCATTACGCAAAGTAAGCATTTGCAGTATAGTTGATTTTGCCCAGGGGCACTCTTGAGGCACTCTTGGGGGAAATTAGACCTTGACATATGCGAGTTGTAGTTATTGGGATGTATAGTTCACCTACAATCAAAGAGCATTCTGAACTCCACCAATGATGGAATTGAACTTAATATGGTACACAGAACTCCCATGATGAACAGAAAATATATATCAGTGATTGGTTGGGGGGGGGGCAAAATACTGTTTGCTTACTGTTGAAAATTACTTAGGGCCGCCTCTGACCATCAACATCATGAGTGATCACTCATGGCTGAGTATGATTGGCTTTTAGAGATAGAGTTTTAGCAGTGGATCCATAAATGACTGTGAAGACCTATTCTGGATCATAGATTTCCAGATGGAAGGCAGTCATGACAAGGGGTTCCTTAATGTGCCTTCCTCTTGGAATACAAGTATTCTAACCCTCCTCATTCTGAAATTCAAAACACTCCTGGTATCATGCATTTCAGAAAGGGACATTTGCTTTCCCTCCCCCTTCCCTTTCATCTATCTATCTATCTATCTATCTATCTATCTATCTATCTATCTAGCCATTTATCTATCACTATGTTTAGGTTTTCTCCCTCCATAAATGGCTCTTATAAATACAATAACATTAACATTATTTAAAACAAAGCATAACAATAAAAGCCAGTCCTGAGGAGCAGAAAAGTTAGGAGTACCATGTTCTGGAATCTTGTATGGAGTCTCAATGACATCTCTTGTATGTTGGGCTACTGGGCGCTTTTCCAACATGTGGGGCATCTTTTCTCCCTTGGAACGTAACATGAAAGTTTAGACCAAAATGGTATATTAATTGAAGACTGTGTCATAATATTATTATTTTCTTTCTTCCTGCCTTGTCATTATGTACAGCATTATTACAAGTCTTTAATGTTTAGAAGACAACCCTAATTGGCATAAATAATATTTTGTATTTTAGTAATGCCTTAATTAATGTGTTACTTTAAATACACATTCATGAGCACATTAAGAGTGTTGTTAAATGTCTCACCACAAAGCTGTTTTAAGGAAGATTTCTACAGGATGATTCCCATGGAAATTGCAGTAGAGGGCTCAGGGATAGATATGCAATTAATCAATAATAAAATTAAATTATGTGTTTGTCACAAAATTCAAAGGAGATTGCAGATGATTAGCACGAGTGTAACTTTTTCTGTAAATACAACTTGATGGGAATCTTTCCATAAGCACCTATAAAAAAAAGTTTAAATCAGAAAAAGTAGAGTCTCTCGCTCTCTCTCAGTTTCAATCATGATTCCTGATATGGAGTAAACATGTTTTGTTAAATGCTGCATTTTGAAACTGTAAAGGTCATATGGTTCATTATGTTGAATGTGCTTCTATTTATAATAAGGAAAAAAAGTCAAACATAAATCTGTTGCAAAGCAAAAGAGTAGCTAAAGTATCTTTTTTAAAATAACCAGCGGTAAATTATTTTTGCACCTAATATCCAACTCTACTGAAAGGGAAACCTTATCACTTTTGGCTGGGGGTAGTCATTAATATGAGCAAAGCAGATGTTAATAGATATTAAAC